GTGGTCTTTCGCTTTCACTTCGTGGTTTAAGGTTTGGGCTATAAAAACTCCTTGAAACGTTATTCCTGACTCATTTAGATTCCAAAACCCTCTTACGCAACGACATACGTATCCACCATCCTCAGAAAATCGCTTGACTATGTCGGAATCAATTGCTGTCCGTTGCTTTGTTGCATTCCTAGCCGCGAATCGCCAGTTGACAGGTACCGACCTCCCATAGAGTCTCAGGGAGTCGATCAAGGGCACCGTTTGCCAACCTGGGGACCCAGGGTATAGCATACACAAGTGGTCTCCTCACTCAGCCAAGCAAAGCAAAGTTGTCGTCACTCCGGAAGAAATAGATGACATTTCAAAAGCGATCAAGGCAAGTGTTCTCCAACCACCTATCCTGCTCAAGAATACTACCGGGCTTACCCAGTATCGCATAGTTTGCTCGCTCGCAAGGGCTTCCGCTTGCTATCCGAGGTGGAGGACATGCCACCAGCACCGCCTCTGCGACTGAGGGCTTGTTGATTGATATGCGCAAGATGACCAAAATCCGAGTTGACGAGGAAAATCGTATTGGGTACATTCAGGCGGGGGCTCGAGGCCATGATGTCGAAGTGGAACTAATCAAGTATGGTAAGTACAATAACAAATATTTGTGAGGACGATAGCCGTCAGGTTCACAACTTCTTTCCACCTCAGGTTTAGCTGCATGCGTGGGGGTTGTGAGTTTTTCCCGCGCTCCTCGAGCTCTGGTGCGCGGGCCTAACCACCGCTCTAAAAGTGTAGCCAGGTCTCTATGGGAGGGTATACTCTCGGAGGAGGTTTCGGATACTCGACTGGCAAGTATGGCCTAGCGGCAGACAGCTTGGTCTCTGCAACCGTGGTCCTCGCCACCGGAGAGGTCGTCCAAACTAGCGACTCAGAAAACCCAGATTTGCTCTGGGGCCTTCGAGGAGGTAACTATCTTTCCTACGCTGCGGGAAGCCCACCTCTCTTAGCACTACCTGTGTTCGGTTTATGCCAGGCGGATCCAACTTCGGCGTTGTAGTAGAACTCGGAGTGAAGCTGCATCCACAAAGACCAGATGTCTACTCCATCAGTAAGCTAACTCTACCCTTCGAAGCTACACACGATCACGCATCGCTTATCCCTCTGCCATAGGCTATGTTTACCTTCCCGCTCAGTTGCCTGCTGTCGTCAACGGAATAAGTGAATGGCTCAAGGTGCAAAAAGACCACGAGGCCATTCAGCTCATTATTTCCTTTGGGCCAGATGCTAATGTGAGTCGTAACTTCTGTCATATCTTCGAGAAACCGGGCTTATATCTACTCGTTCTTCCAGCCGTACGTAGTTATCAAAGGTATCAGCAACTCGACGCAGGAGGAAGGGGAAGCGGCCTACAAGTGCTTCGTTGATCTAGGTACGTTTTGCTGAGGGGTTCTAGAATGCTACACCTTTCTGAAAGTGTACGATCTGTGTTCGTGGACATAGGCCCGGTTGTTGCCACCAACGTCCAAATCCCGTATAGCAAAGTGAGCACTCAAGTGGTGAGTAATATCTCGGTACTGATTCTTTCACATACCCTACCGCCTAATCCTTACCTCTGTGAAGGATGCGTATAACGAACTACCCGGTGGTAAAATGGGTGTCGGAGCTCACATCGATAAATTTGACTTGGACCAAGTACAAAAAGCATGGGATGCCTGGAGCGAACTGGTCAAGAAAGCTCCTGCCTCGGCCGTTATTTACGAGTTCTATCCGTACGGGAAGATTGCAAGCGTTCCGCTAGAGTATGGAGCGTTCGCACAACGACACTCTGTAAGTCCTTCCCAAACGCGAGTCTTTCACCGAGCAACTAATAAACACGCTGCTCTAACCTGCCTCAGTTCGTCACTGTTCTTTGCATTGCCGTTTGGACAGACGACGAATTCACACCTCATGTTCGGGATGAGCTCCTGAAGGTGAGAAGCGTTGTCTCTGGATCGTCGTCCAAGGCTGCCCAGGAGTCGCTCGGATATTCGAACTACGCCGATCCATTCGCTACGCTCAATGAAACGGACGAATATGCGAGAAAGCTCTTTGGTCCCAACTACCCACGTTTGCAACAGTTGAAGAAGAAGTACGACCCCGACGTAATATTTGACCGGTGGTTTGCAATTCGACCAGCAGTGTAGATGTAGGGGTTCCAGCGATAATTTGTAGCTCTCGGACGTGATGCGAATCAGTATGCTCCTAGGTTTGAATGTCGATGAAATGGATGCGCCCGAACTGCGGCAGTTCACGACGTAATACGGGATGTAGGTCGCCTGCCTTGACAGCTAACGAAATGAAAGAAACCTTCTCTGTCCTCGGAATTAGAACGCGTCAATGTCTGGAAGGCATTGTACGAATCTGTATCTCCGCGGTTTGCTGGAGTGAACCCCACACATGCTGTGCAGATCATGATACGTATACGCCCTTGCACTGGCGCCGCGCCATCGATCCCAAGATTGTACCTGACCGGTCCTCGATATTAGAAAGATATTATATTTGTCACCGCGGTTTGCCCATCGCCGAAGCATGATTATCAGTCAGCTCTTGAATAGTAAGGCACGAATTTGGATTCGAAGGCCTTTTTTCCGTCACTTGGGATCTAACTTGAGTCTTGAGCGTCAAATTATTCGACCTTTAAATAGTCGTTGGGGCTGCTTCTGGTTTGACAGAGCACGAAACTCAAGTATCTCGGACCTGCCATCCTCAAACTATCGACCATGTCTTCATCCTTCGTTGTCCGTGCTGTCCTCTTGGGCCTTACCTTTCTACTTCTAACCTTGTGTTACGTGTACCACAGGCATTCAAGGACTCGATCAAGGGAACGGTCTGCCAGCCCGGAGACGAGGGCTACAATCTGTCAAAGTGGGCACCAAATGGCACCAAACCAAGTAAAATCATCGTCACTCCTGAGGAGACAGAAGACATTGCAAAAGCGATCAAGGTATCCTCGGCGGAGCATATTCGCTCCGAAGAAGCGCTCATCTCGGTATCGGGTAGTACGCTCAATCAGAAGGCCTCACAATTGCGGTTCGCGGTGGTGGTCATAGCACGAGTACGGCATCTGCCACGGACGGCTTGTTGATCGACATGCGGAAAATGACCCAAGTCCGAGTCGACGAGACAAACAAGATTGGGTACATCCAAGCTGGAGCTAGAACGCATGAAATTGAGGTTGAAACTATGAAGTATGGTGCGCCATTTGGGACAGCTGTGGTTTGCTTCTGGTCTTATTGACATTCGTACGCGCTACGACTGCACGTCTACTATTAGGCTTGGCCGCAGCGGTCGGAATTGCAAGTTGACCCATTTGGCCCCCGATGAGCTTTCAGCCTCACTAACGTCGTCTTTCATTTATAGTGCAGCCAAGTATCCATCGGAGGTTACTGTCTTAGTGGCGGGATCGGTTATTCGACTGGTGCCCATGGCCTGGCAGTCGACAACCTGGTCTCAGCCACAATCGTTCTCGCTTCGGGTGAGGTTGTAAAGGCAAGCGACTCTGAGAATCCGGACCTTTTTTGGGCTCTTCGTGGAGGTGAGTCCGCTGCCGATGCTCGGAAGGATTCCTCCACGACCTAAGTGAATCACATCAGGTGGTTCGAACTTTGGAATCGTTGCGGAAGTCGGAGTGAAACTCCATAGCCAAAGATCTGACGCCTATGTCATTAGTGAGGTTGTCCATGTAGACGCTTTGTCGAACTATCTAACTCGCTTCTCTTCCAGGCTACATATATCTTCCGGCTCAGCTGCCTCAGGTAGTCGAAGCACTCAATTCTTGGAGAAAGGAACAGAAAGACCACGAGGGAATCCAGTTCTTCATCACCCTGGGTCCGGATGGCAAGGTGAATCACAACTGTTTTGTAAACGTTGTGTAACCGCCTCGGTAACCTTAAAACCCTTCCAGCCATATGTCATCATCAACGGTGTTAGCAACTCCACACAGGAGGAGGGAGAAGCCGCCTATAAACGATTTCTTGAGCTCGGTGAGCTGTTGCCTTCGTGACGCCCGGTATCTATTTCCTGCTTACGTCGAACGGCTTTCGTGACCAACGCTTCTAGGCCCAGTTAATGTCACAAATTCCCAAATACCGTATACGGAGGTCAGCAACCTCGCGGTATGTTGCGAAACCAGCGATTCCCGATTTCGGCCCTAATGACACAGCCCTATGCTACAGAACGCTTTTAACGAGCTTCCTGGCAACAAGACAATAGTAGGAGCCCACATTGATACATTCGACCTGCCGCAAGTTCAAAAGTCGTGGGATACCTGGAACGATATTGTCAAGAAAGCACCTTTTTCAGGAGTTATGTATGAGTTCTATCCATACAAAACGATTGCAAAGGTGCCAATCGAACATGCGGCTTTCTCGCAAAGGCATGAAGTAGGTACCCCTGATAAAGTATTCCTTTACATATAATAACAAACCTATTATCTCTTCCTATAGTTCATTACCGTCCTATGTGCCCTTGCCTGGACGGACGACTCCTTCACTCCCAACGCACGAAACGAACTGCTTAGGCTGAAGGGTGTCATCTCCGGGTCGTCCTCCAAGGAGGCTCAGGAATCGCTTGGATATGTGAACTATGCAGACCCATTCTCAACCCTGAACGAGACAGACGAGTACGCGAGGAAGGTATTCGGGTCAAACTATCCCCGATTACAGGAAATCAAAAAGAAGTATGATCCAAAGATGGTATTCAACAGGTGGTTCGCGATCCAACCAGCCACTTGAGTTGATTTGGGTGTTCCCCAGGGGATAATCGGTCGCCAGTGTAGATTAATTCGCTCGTTATGAACCAAGATGGTAGTATTTTCACATGCGTGTCCTCTGAAAGATCACCAATGTAGTTCCGTTTGAAGGGAACATTCTTTCCTTCCTTGAGCGATGATGGGTTTGCACCACCGGTACCGCCATGTTTGTCAGAGTTTACTGTCATCCAATTCTGCACCACGCCAAAACGGGAAATGTTTCCCCTTACCCTCCTTCGTGGTCCAATGGCTAGGATAGCTCGCTTTCACTGTGCAGATGTATCCGTACATGATCCGAGCCGGCCCGGGTTCGATTCCCGGCGGGGGAATGTAACGTTTTCCCTCCGCACTCTCCAACACAGATCCAGTGTTCTCGACCCTTTCCACTCGATTTTCTTGACTTTATTTGCCAATGAACTGCCTTGGCCCTAGGCTAGTGCAACAACCGCAGAACTGCTACATTCGTTTCGAAACCGGTAATGAATACCTTTGACGTCTGGTATGTTCTTAGACTGCATGAGTCCTTCTCCGGCCCTTCATTGTGTGTTCTATCGATATTGTTTGACCCTCGCTTCGTGACCTACTCTTCGGAGAACGTGCCCGATGCCTACAAAATAGTGTCCCACCGGAACCCTGCATCTCTACTTCCCTCCGTCATCTACGCAAATCGTTTGCTCCAAGGAACAGTCCACCACATACCGGATTCAACCTTAGTCTTACGTTGTTCGAGGAAACACTACAGAGGTCACCTATTTGCCATGGATCCGAACTTTAGCCGAGGCTCCATTCCTGGCAAAGTCCAGTGCTTGCCTCCCATGAGGCAACCCTTAGTGCCTTGTGGGTTTGTTGATCTAAGTAAACTTTGTGCGGAAGTAATTTAATTGTAGCCTGAGGCTCTACGGGGCGGCTCCTGCTTCGTTCCCTAGTGAGCATGCGGGCAAGTAGAGTTAGACAAGCTTCGGACGAGTCTCCCATTCCAATCATCAATCGCACTGCCCCAACCTAGAGCGATCAGCTGTCGATAAAAGAAATAAGCTGTAATATGATAATGTAATACCGACATTTAACCTTCAGACGTATCTATCAGTACTTTATGTCCTGTGTTGTACGATGGATCGCTTCACCTAGCCACTTGCTGTCCCTCCCGCAACCCCTGACAAAAGCTTGATTGTGGTGGGATGCATCAATCTCTTTCGGTGAGTCAAGTTCCTTTTTTACAGGCATGTTGCTCGTTTTGGGCTTATCTAGGGAAGAACAGGATCTAAAGGTATCTTGCAAGGGGAGCGTTTGTGAACCTGGTGATGAAGGCTACGATAACTCCAAATGGGCTCCCAATTCGACAAAGAGAAGTAAAGTAGTAGTTACAGTAGAACAGACAGAAGATATTGCAAATGCGATAAAGGTGAGGCTCCAGTTCATCTATCCCGTCGTCGACCTCCTCATATATATTCCTCGCCCTTCACCGAGTTTGCCCGTTCGCAAGGCCTAACCATAGCCGTGCGCGGAGGAGGTCATAGCAGCAGTACAGCTTCCGCTACAGATGGACTACTGATTGACATGCGGAGAATGACCAAAATTCGAATCGACGAGGTGGCCAAAATTGGGTACTTTCAATCGGGAGCCTTGATGTGGCAAGTCGAGGCTGAGACAATCAAATACGGTACGGGTCAAACACGGTGGGATCTCCGTAGGTATACTGTTTTTGACGATCTTGCATTGGCTCTTAGGTCTCGCTGCATGCGCAGGATTGGTATGTCTCTCCGCGTGAGGGGCTTCATATATGCTTACACCCGAAAAGTGCAGCGAAGTTTCAATTGGTGGATACACCCTTGGTGGGGGCCTCGGACACTCGCTTGGCATGTATGGTGTGGCATGTGATAACTTGGTGTCTGCGACGGTTGTTCTGGCGAACGGAGACATCGTGCAGGCCAGCGAGTCGGAGAACCCTGACCTGCTGTGGGGCCTGAAAGGAGGTGAGATCTGTCCTTTGGCGACTCATTATGTGTTGCTCAGGGCAAGATGACGTAGGTGGCTCAAACTTCGGGGTGGTCGCCGAACTCGGTGTCCGATTACATCCACAAAGACCGGATGCATACGCCGTCAGTACGTACGACGACAGGAACTCGACTGCACAGAAAGTTTCACGCAAAGCTTCGCAGGTTACGTATACCTTCCAACTCAGCTCGAAGCGGCCGTCGCCGCGATCAATGAATGGAGGCCAGTACAGAAGCTACATGAGACGATCTGTTTGCTCGTCTCCTTAGGACCCGACGGAAATGTGAGATACTTCGAGGTCTCATCGCTTACTATCCGGGAGCCGAGTTAACGCATTACCCGATAGCCATACGTGATTATCAACGGAGTTAGTAACTCAGCACAAGAGGAGGGAGAGGCAACCTTTCAACGTTTCCTTGATCTAGGTGAGTACGGTTCACACCTGTAGGTACGACCTTTGTGTTGCCTTACTAAATTATGGTGCTAATACTAGGGCCGGTTAAAATTACAAATGCCCAGGTCCCATGGCAGGAAGTTTGCAACTTGGGCGTAAGTGGCAAAGATGCGTTTGTCTTACTGTGCCTCACTAGCAAACTCGACCCATGCCTTAGAATGCAATGAACACGATCCCCAAGGGCAAAGTTTTTGTCGGTGCTCACATCGACAGCTTTGACATAATTCAGGTTCAGAAGTCGTGGGATGCGTGGACTGAAGTTACCAAGAAGGCTCCGTTTTCTATCCTGATGTACGAGTTTTACCCGGATAAGAAGGTAGGAGAGATCCCGATCGAAAGTGCAGCCTTCGCTCAGCGACATCCGGTGAGTCCCGGTCTAGAGACTTGAAGAAATAAATTAACAGGCCATAAATCTGTCAGTATATTACAGTCCTTTGCGCCATCATGGGTATAGAAGAATCAGACGACTTCGCTCCACACGCATGGGATGAGCTCCTCAACCTTAAGAAGATTGTCTCGGCTTCATCATCGCAAGCTGCCCAAGAATCGTTGGGTTACGCCAATTACGGAGACCCGTTTTCGACACGAAACGAGACAGACGAATACGCTAGGAAGCTCTTCGGCCCCAATTACGCGCGACTCCAGGAGGTGAAGCGGAAATATGACCCTGATGTAGTATTCGATCGATGGTTCGCGATTCGCCCCGCGGCCTAATTCTATAACGAACGAGTAGGAGCGGGGCGAACGTTTCCTTGAGTCTGTATTCTGGATGCCCTTAAAGGAGCTCTTGTAAACCGATGATAATGCATTGTGTGATAAATCAAAAGCTACCTCCCTTCCTCCTCCCTGTTGGAGGGATCGTTTTCTTCAACCTCGGCGGGACTTGGACTAACTTTGTCCTCAGGTTCAAGGTCGTCCTTTTTGCTGTCCACAAAAACTCCTTGTGCATATGTAAGCGCTATAATGCGGTAACTTATGGTTGCCGATCATTGAAAGAGTTGCCCAGGAGTCCGGAGGGGAGACTTATTTGTCTATATTTTCCCAAGAGCCACGAGAGATCTTGAAGACTTAGACGCTCTAAAGGCCAGTTTTCTTGCTTCGGATGAGCTAATAGAGGAGTTCAAAGCTGGCTTCTGAGCCCCGAGCGTTTCACGCGCGGCTTCCGTCGCCGCTTCGACCTCCTGAAACTCTCGCAGAAGCGTTCCCTCTGAGCGCACTCGCTTCACGACCCGCTTCATTTACTCGCTCCACCCTTCGCTACATACAGCCGATGTTGTCCAGCTGTGGTTCCTTCTATATCCGTTATGTTACTCGAATCTGGGAGCTTCGGGTACGCTTAGCTGTTTGCTGAGGACCCGCAGATGCCGATTCCGGCATGATAGATGGCCGTTTTGAGTGATGTGCCAGTGGATGGTGTCGCACACAGGTGAAATGAAATCAACGATGTTTTTTTTCTAATCTAATCGGTAACCGTATCAAGAACAAACGAGGGCAAGGGGATGAAGCCTGAGGGATGGGGCGAAGCAGCACGCGAGTTGCTTCAGCACGGGCTGCTGCTTCACCGCGGGGAAGGTGATCATGAAGCGCTGCCACCGAAAGCCGTTATGTGAAGCGGGGCCCAGGAGCCAGCTTTGACCCCCCTCCCTAAATAATCCCTTATGTATAACGCCTTTGTGGAACCCTTTTGTGCAGGGCTCACCCTATCTGTGTCTGCATAGAGGTCTTAGAAGCTCTTCTCATTGGTTGACACCGGCGGCAAGCTTGCGAGTCGACTTTGGAACTGTCTCATGCCCTCCACGACCTCCCCTACCTCCACCTCAAGCGATCGCTCCCGAGAAGAGGATGCGGCGGACGCGGCACTATTATGATGGAAATCTAACCTTCGGATGTGCCTATAAGTACTTCATATGGCCAGCCGTGGTTCGCCTCTAAAACCACTCCAGCTCCTCTCGACGTTACCATCATACGACCTTACACCGCTATCCAAGCCAAATGGCTCAACTCCTTTCTGTGAGCTTCGATTTGGCGCTATTCTCAGTAACGTTTCTGGTTTGAGCTTAGCCGGAACAACAGGACCTCAAACAATCGTGCAAAGGGAGCGTTTACCAGCCTGGCGACGAAGGCTACGACAACTCCAAATGGGCTCCAAATTCCACAAAGCTAAGCAAAATAATCGTTACACCTGAAGATGCTGAAGACATTGCGAAGGCAATTAAGGTAGAGTTTATAACACGATGCATCCTATAGTCGATTAACAGACAATAATACCCACTCTGATCCCTGGGCCCCTGCACTCACCAGTTTGCGCGTTCTCAAGGCCTACCTGTAGCTGTTCGCGGTGGAGGTCACAGCACTAGCACAGCTTCCGCTACAGATGGATTACTGATTGACATGCGGAGAATGACCAAAATTCGAATCGACGAGGAGGCCAAGATTGGGTACAGTCAGTCAGGGGCATTGATGTGGCAAGTTGAAGCCGAAACAATTAAATATGGTATGTTTTCAACTGCGGCGAAACGTTTTTATACATGATATTTATTATTTATGATGACATTCTCTTCTGAGTTTAGGTCTCGCTGCTTGTGCGGGGGTGGTACGTTCTCTCCATGACCGATCGTTAGAGTTCATCCCGCTGCTGACGTGCTGTACAGTGCAGTCAAGTTTCTATCGGCGGTTACACACTAGGTGGCGGTATTGGACACTCCATAGGTACATATGGTCTCGCATGCGATAACTTGGTGTCGGCAACGATCGTTTTGGCAAACGGAGACATTGTCCAGGCCAGCGAGTCGGAGAACCCTGACCTTCTATGGGGTCTGAAAGGAGGTTAGTGCTATTCGGATACTTTACTCCGCAGGGCTCAACAAAAAATGGAATAGG